CTGGGAGCACACACACCCCAGAGCCCTCATGAAGCAGAGATCGGAAGGGGACATGGGGCCCTCCGGTCAGGGGATGCTGCCTCACCTCGACACCAGGCTCTCCGGGCACGCCCCGGGCCCCGTCAGCTCCACCTTGACCCTGGGGATCACACAGAGAGAAGGCATGAGAGGATGCCCATCGACCTCAGGCCTGCTCCCCACATGCAACCCTCAGTCCCATCAAAGAACCTCCTTGTGGCCTGGTTTCTCTGGGGGGCCGATCAGCCCCAAGGGCCCCTGCGGGCCCTAGAAATGGAGAGGAAGGCAGAGAACAGAGACTTATTCTGGGGCCTCCGCCCAGGTTCCCCACCACTGAAGTGGCGGCACAGGAAAAGAGGGGGGTCACAGAGTGAGGACTCGTGAGGACAGCAGCATAGGACAGAGCACAGGAATGAAGGCCTTGTGGCTGTCCAAGGGAAAGGTGCTGGGGCTCTGGGGCTGTGCCCCTCAATCTCAGTCACACCTGGAGGCTGCAGTGGGCTTCGGAGGGAGTGGTGGAGAAGGAGGGGGCAGGTTCTGGGCTGGGGAGACGTGCCAAAGGCCACGGTGCAGGGCCAGGGTGGGGGATTCGTCACTGCGGACAAGGATCCTCTTACCTGGGGACCAAAGTCTCCCGCCTCAGCCTTTAAGCCGGGGTTGTCGGGTTGCCGCTGGAAGAGAAACAAAGGCTGGTTACTTCTGTGGCCCTCCCCTAGCCGTGAGAGTCAGTCTGGGGTAGTGGTTCAGAGCGGCAGGTTCTAATCTGGAGAAGCAGGTTCGATTCCCCACTTCCCCACTTGACGCAAGCTGGATGACCTTGGGCAAGTCACAGAACTCTCAGCCTAAAAAGTAATAAACAGGGCTCGGCCCCTGGTGGTGCAAAGAAGAACTGCAGCTTCAGCAGCCAGACAATCCCCCTGGGATCTCCTGGGTATTCCACACACAAGGCCATGGGGCAATTTCAGTTTCCTCCCCAAGCCCAGTTCTGGCACCAGAAGCCAGGGATCAGAAGCCGCGCCCAGCATGGCAGCACGGCAGAGTCAGCAGGGGCACCAGGGAAATAAGTGTCTGGGGAGGGCCTCAATATTCCCACCCACTGGCTCGGGCATTTCTGGTCTTGGTGGTGGTGCACAAACGGGGGGGAGGGGGCCTTTATCTCCAATGCCCTCCTCGCTCCCTTTCTCCTTTTTTTTTTTTTGCCTTCACTGGCAAATTGGTGTCTCCTTGGAGAAAGCCACGGAACGGAGGGATCCAGCCCCCCTCCCCGTTTCCCCTCCTCACCTCCCCTGCCAGACTCACCCGGGGGTCCTGCTGCGGGAGAACCAGAGCTTGGGCTTCCTGGGCAGAGACCCCCGGCCCCTCATCCTCTTCGCCGCTCTCAAAGCCGAACTGGGTGGTGAAGGAGGAAGCGTCATCAGGTCCTCTGGAGACAAAACCCTTTCCCCCCGGCAGGCCCGGGAGTCCGTCGAAGCCCCAGGCAGCCTGCAGAGAGAAAACCATAGCACCGGACCTTTTCATTCATTGGTTCCTTCATTTACAATCCTTATGAGCCAACTTTCTACCTTGAGGCAGATTCCAATAAAGCCCCTGACCTTGGGACCAGAGAACCCCCCCCCGGGAAGGGAAGAAGTGCCCCCCCTCGTGACGCTCTCTGCCCTCGACTGCTTCATCTGGGAGAACACACACCCCAGAGCCCTCATGAAGCAGAGATCGGAAGGGGACATGGGGCCCTCCGGTCAGGGGATGCTGCCTCACCTCGACACCAGGCTCTCCGGGCACACCCCGGACCCCCTCAGCTCCACCTTGACCCTGGGGATCACAAAGAGAGAAGGCATGAGAGGACGCCCATCTCCTCGCCCTCACGCCCTCAGTCCCACCGAAGAACCTACCTTGTGGACTGGTTTCCCTGGGGGCCCAATCAGCCCCAAGGGCCCCTGCGGGCCCTAGAAATGGAGAGCGAGGAAGAGAACAGGGACTTATTCTGGGGCCTCCGCCCAGGTTCCCCACCACTGAAGTGGCAGCACAGGAAAAGAGGATGGGGTCGCAGGGTGAGGACTCGTGAGGACAACAGCGTAGGACAGTGCACAGGACTGAAGGCCTTGCAGCTGTCCAAGGGAGAGGTGCTGGGGCTCCGGGGCCGTGCCCCTCAATCTCAGTCACACCTGGAGGCTGCAGCGGGCTCCGGAGGAAGTGGTGGAGCAGGAGGGGGCAGGTTCCGGGCTGGCGAGACGTGTCAAAGGCCACGGTGCAGGGCCAGGGTGGGGGATTAGTCACTGCGGTCAAGGATCTTCTTACCTGGGGCCCAAAGTCTCCCGCCTCAGCCTTGAAGCCGGGGTTGTCGGGTTGCCCCTGGAAGAGAAACAAAGGCTGGTTACTTCTGTGGCCCTCCCCGAGCTGTGAGAGTCAGTCTGGGGTAGTGGTTCAGAGCGGCAGGTTCTAATCTGGAGAAGCAGGTTTGAGTCCACACTTGAAGCCATCTGCGTGACATTGGTCAAGTCACAGAACTCTCAGCCTAAACAGTAATAAACAGGGCTCGCCACCTGGTGGTGCCAAGAAGAACTGCAGATTCAGCAGCCAAACAATCCCCCTGGGATCTCCTGGGTATTCCACACACAAGGCCATGGGGCAATTTCAGTTTCCTCCCCAAGCCCAGTTCTGGCACCAGAAGCCAGGGATCAGAAGCCGTGCCCAGCATGGCACCAGGGCACAGTCAGAAGGGGTACCAGGGAAATAAAGTTCTGGGGAGGGCCTCAACATTCCCACCAACTGGCTCGGGCACTTCTGGCCTTGGTGGTGGTGCACAAATGGGGAGGAAGGGGGGCTTTATCTTCAATGCCCTCCTCGCTCCCTTTCTCCTTTTTTTTTTTGCCTTCACTAGCAAATTGGTGTCTCCTTGGAGAAAGCCACAGAACGGAACGGAAGGATCCAGCCCCCCGCCCGGGTTCCCGTCCTCCCCTCCCCCGCCAGACTCACCCAGGGGTCCTGCTGCGGGAGGGCCTGAGCTTGGACTTCCTGGGCGGACACCCCCTCTGGCCCCTCGTCCTCTTCGCCACTCTCAAAGCCGAACTGGGGGGAGAAGGAGGAAGCGTCATCAGGTCCCCTGGAGACAAACCCCTTTTGGGTCACGTCCCCCCACCCCATTCCCTGTGCGTGCAAACCCCCCCCCCCCAGGGGAAGTCTTTGCAGTGAGGCCCATGCAGGCAGAGGGCCTAGGGATGCCAACCACCAGGGGGCACCTGGAGATCTCCCACCACTACAATCAACCTCCAGATGACCAGGGTCCACTCCCCTCGAGAAAATGGCTGCTTTGCAAGGTGGACTCCGGCCGGAAGACGTCCAGAGCCATGATGTGCCCCATGCTGAGCGAAACTCCTGGTGTTCAAGAGACACCCTCCACAGCCACCTTCTCCCCCCTCCGTCAGGCCCTACCCGTAACTCAAGACTGCCCCCTCTGAGTGGGGAGGCAACTCCAGAGACTTTTAACTGGAGCTGCTGTGTGGGGGTGAGCCCGGGACCTCCCGTGGGCAAGACTCCCTTGTGGAGGGGGGGGGGGACCAAGTCTCTGAATCCCAGAGCCGGGAGGCAGCCTCAGTGAAAGGCCTCGGACGCCGTGCCCCATTGCTGGCCCTCCAGAGGAACTGGCTGGTTGCTGTGTGAGACGGAAGGCTGGACTCGATGGACCCTCTGTGGTCTGACCCAGAAGGGCTCCTCTTCCCCACCCTCACCTTCTCTGCCAGGCAGGCTCCTCTGTGCGGAGGCAGGGGGGCACTCCGACTGGAGCCTCTGACACCACCCGAAGCACGTCGATGGGACTTCTCTCCAATGTGGCTGTTCAGGTGTATGTGGAAGTCAGAAAGACAAGGATACGTTCTCCCACAATGCGAGCACTTATATACTCGCTCTGCTATATGTGTCCTCTCATGCACCATGAAGGCCGAAGTCCCTTGAAACGTCTGCCCGCAGTAAGAACAAATGTATGGTTTTTCCGCCATTTGCAGTAAGTCAGGGCCCTGATGGGATTTGTTTCCACGGTCTTGGTCTCTCCTTGTCCCTTTACACCTCAAGTACCTTTCTTGACTCTAAACTTCCAGCATTTGCCTCCCGAACTAGTTCAGGGTTTTCCCTCCACAGGATCATTCAAATGACTTTGTGTCCCCAGGTGAATTTCAGGGCCCCCAAAACAAATCCCTTCAGATCCTTCTAGAAGTTGATCACCAACGGCCACTCGCTCAGCTCCCTTCTGCAAACGATCCTCTCCTCATGTTCCAGCACTCGGATATCAGATCCTGGAACAAAATCAGGACATCGTGAGCAACGCCCCCCACAGCAGTGATGACCCCTCATCTCTCCCAATTCAGGACTGAGCCAGGGTGCGCTGCAGTGGCCGAGAGTGTCGGACCTTCACCAGGGAGGAGGGAAACGTATCTCTGTGCAAAGATCTTCCCCTCTTAAGCCCGGGGATTTCTATTTATGTAGACTGGAATATCGTTGCACAGGATGGCCCTGTGAGGTGGAATTCGGATGTCACAATAAACCAGGACTTGTTTAAGCCACAGTTGGTGCGACACACTTCAGGCAGCCTCCCAGATGGAAGTAACAAGATCCCAATTGGCTCATAAACCCGGGTTTCTCTGCTTCCTGCCACTTCTCCCATCTACCCCCAGGATGCCACCTCTATGGCTGGTGTGACTTGAAAAATAGGAATCCGAGAATTCAGGTGTCACATCAGGCCACAGTAAGGAGAAGCCACGATTGACAAACCAGCTACAAGCCTAGATGGAAATCCTGTTTTGGCACATACCAACAAACTGCCATTTGTTGAGTCGTCGGCATTCAGCTGTTAGGGAAATGCCATGGCTCAGCCCTAGAGCATCAGCTTTGCATGCCGAAGGTCCCAAGTTCAATCCCCGGAATCTAGCAGGTGATGAGAAAGACCTCCATCCCAGACCCTGGAGAGCCACCACCAGTCTGAGCAGACAAGACTGACGGTGAGAGACCAACAGTTTGATCCAGGATACGGCAGTAGAGGGAAGGCCTCTTTCATTGCTGAGAGACTACATTAGACCCAGGGTTCCCTGGAAACACCCCAGCAACTTGCTGCCACAGCTCAGGGATCCTCTGAAAACATCTAGACCGACCTTCTGAGAAAGTATCCATCAAGTGCAGTACTAGACAACTAAGTAACCAGCGTTCTGTGCGCCTTGGTGTTTAGTCATGCCGGCCACATGACCACGGAAACGTCTTCGGACAGCGCTGGCTCTTCGGCTTTGAAACGGAGATGAGCACCGCAACGGATTCGACTGGCTTTCGAGCAAGGGAACCTTTACCTTTACCTTCCATGGAAACACCCCAGGAACTGGCTGCCACAGCTCAGGGATCCCCTGAAAACATCTAGACTGACCCGCTGAGAAAGTATCCTTCAAGCGCAGTACTAGAGAACAAAGTAACTGGGAAGAAACATTGGAAGATGGAGCTCCGTTGTGATCCAGCTCATGGGTAAGAGCTTTAGAGAAATATCCCAGAGAAGGAAAACATACTAAGCATTCACAGAAAGTTATATCATAAGACAGAGAGAGAGAGAGAGAGAGAGAGAACGAATGAACAGGAAAGGAGTGGTTGGATTCAAAAGTGTTGGAAAAGGGGCAAAACAAAATACAGGGAAGAGGCACACAACACCCAGCACAGGGATTTTCAAATAAAAAGCAATACAGTTGGGCTAACTCAGGGAAGTACACATTACGAAGGCTATGTCAGGTTCCTCAGAGCATGTGCAGAGTTCCTTGCTGTAACAAGATGTTGGGAGAGGCCTTGTATCTAATGAAAACCCAGCCTCCTGTGGTGTGGATTTCCACGGAAGGAAATGGAAAATCCCAAATGTCCAGGTACCAGGTCAAAGGAATCTGATTTAAGCCTGCCCCCTCTCTAAGAATGACAAGCTGATTTCGGCAGGCTTTAGGGTTTCTATCACAGGTTTTTAATGACCACACTCAAACCTGTAATAGCCAAGCATGGAAACACAGAGATCCTGAGAGCCCGAGTAGTCCCTGAGAGGCCCATCAATGGACTTCACGCATTCATGTTCAATGAAACCTCGGCTTATAATTAAAAGTTTATCACAACATCTGCATGCGGCCCCAGAATGCTGCTCTGCCGTGAAACGAACTGGACAAGCTGGATCCCACCACGATCCTTCAGAACTATTTTGACACAAGGCTGTGGCCAAATAGGTGATTTCCTACACTGTTGATGGGCTTGCCCACACATTCAAAACTTCTGGTCTCAAATCCTTGCACAAATTGCTATCATCATAGGTGACGACCTACCTGCACTCCCCGAGACGGTTCTGCTGGATGTACTCCCGGAAACCTGTGAAAGGAAAACGCAAAAGATATTGATTTCTACTCTATTACCAATCAGAAACATTTAAAATGACGGTCCCACCAGATTGACTATATAATTTGCAGTCAAAGATGGAGAAGCTCTATCCAGTCAGTAAAAACAAGACCTGGAGCTGACTGTGGCTCAGATCATGAGCTACTCATTGCAAAATTCAGACTTAAACTGAAGAAAATTGGGAAACCCACGAGGCCATTCAGGTTTGACCTAGATTGCATCCCTGATGAATATACAGTAGAGGTGAAGAATAGATTCAAGAGTCTAGATTTGATAGATAGAGTGCCTGGAAGAACTATGGACGGAGGTTCGTGACATTGTACAGGAGGCAGCAATCACCACCATCCCAAAGAAAAAGAAATGCAAGAAAGCAAAGTGGCTTTCTGTTGAGGCTTTACAAATAGCAGAGGAAAGAAGGAAAGCGAAAGGCAAAGGCGAAAAGGAAAGATTTACCCAACTGAACGCAGATTTCCAGAGAACAGCAAGGAGAGATAAGGAGGCCTTCCTGAATGAACGCTATTGAGGCAGACTCAACATGGGTTCTGTAAGGGAAGATCTTGTCTCACTAACCTGTTAATGTTCTTTGAGGGGGTGAACAAATTAAAATAACAAAGAAGGGCGTTAGGTCTATTTTATTAGCCCTTGTATGTTTGTATATTTATATTTGTTTGTGAGGTATGAATGGGCCCTTCTTTGTTATTTTAATTTGTGTGTAATAAATATATGTTTATTTTTGTATGATTTTTAGAGTTGGCCCTCTTCTATCCTTGACTAACCTTTTTTGGTTCTGAATCCTTTGGCCTGATCCAACATTGGCATCTCTTATGTTCTTATGTTCTTAAATTGCTATCATCATAGGTGACGACTTACCTGCACTCCCTGAGACGCTTCTGCTGGATGTACTCCCGGAAACCTGTGAAAGGAAAATGCAAAAGATATTAATTTCTACTCTATTAGCAATAGCTAGAATAACCATCACACAAAAGTGGAAAGAAAAAACCATCCCAAATATAGCCAACTGACAAAACAAGTTGTTATGAGAACCCTTTATTTATGGGGAAATGACCTGTCTCTTATGTTCTTATGTTCTTAAATTGCTATCATCATAGGTGACGACTTACCTGCACTCCCTGAGACGCTTCTGCTGGATGTACTCCCGGAAACCTGTGAAAGGAAAACGCAAAAGGTATTAATTTCTACTCTATTAGCAATAGCTAGAATAACCATTGCACAGAAGTGGAAAGAAAAAACCACCCCAAATGTATCCCACTGGCAAAACAAGTTGTTATGAGAACCCTTTATTTATGGGGAAATGACCTGCCAGCAAACACAATGGAATGCTAAAACATTTCAGGTAGTTTGGTTCCCAGTGGTTCAATATCTTGCAGAAGGTGAAATTATCCCAAAGAATGAGCACCTCCAGAATTTACTGTACTTTTGAAATAGGTTATAAACTCATGATATTGGAACTGACAGATGGTAATGATCTGTTGTAAATTATGTTAATTCCACGGTTATTATGTAGATCATCATAGCACTATGTTTTTGGTGTTAGGCGTATTGTTATGTTTTGTCATTTTGTCTGAAAAATAAAAATTGAATTAAAATAAAAAGAACTCTTTCGGCACCGGCCTGAGGGGCCCGGAGGAAAGGGGAAGGCAGAGAAACAGAAGGCGCCAGCTACGTACGAACAGAGGAGGAGCCACGCTGGATCAGGCCAGGGGCCCATCGAGTCCCACACTCTGTGGCACACAGCGGCCAAAACCCAGGTGAATTTTGTTCTCCCTGAAGCTCCTTTCAAAACATGTGAAAAAGCAAAAGAATTTTGGATAAACATACATACAGAAATGGAGAAAATAATGTAATGTAGTAATGAAAGAACCAGAGATATTGCTGTTAGGATTAAAAATGGAGGAAGTTAATGTGTCTAAAAAAACATTAATGTGGTACATGGTAACAGCTGCAAGAATATTATATGCCCAGAACTGGAAACAAGATAGAATACCAGAAGTAGGAGAATGGATTAAAAAACTGCTTTTTATGGCAGAAATGGACAAAATGACGAGAAAATTAATAGACTTGGAGGCTGAAGAATTTTTTACAGACTGGAAAGATCTTAAAGAATATTTAGAGAAGTACTGGGATGTAAAAAACAATCTGATTTGCTTTGAAAACTATTAAGACAATTTAAGAAACAGACATATACGGACAGTAATGGAATATAAGTTACCTATAGCTATGTAATACTGTGATTGAAACAAGTAATGATTTAAGATTTGAACTGGTGGTGGGAGCGCTGTGGGAAGCCTACAAAAGGGAGGGGGAGAAAGATGAAAAGGATAGAGACGAAAATTGACTTATGTGAAATGTGTATTATCCAAAAAAAATGTGTTTAAAAAAAACAACAACGGTGTAGTTTTGGCATCCTGTGAGCTCAGGCCACCCTCAGGGGCCCACACGAGTAGTCTCCGCTACGCTGCTGGTGGGTAAACCGGACACTTCCCCCATTAACTTCTGGTAATATTAAGTGCTACTTTCATACCGCAGCGGTTTTCATGTATCTTAAAACCTTTCCAGGCTGCTCCTGCCCACCCGCAAG